TCCACTTGTCTTTTTATGCTTGCCCATGTTGTTATGTTTTGTTGAGGACAGGGATACATCTATAGTAGCCTAATATCGGTCTAAGTACCCTTCATCCTCCCTGTAAGCCCTTCTGTATCCTGCAGGCACTTGTGCTGAGCATAAAGCCTGATTTTTAGAATGTTTCCACTTCTTTAATCAATGGGGATCTGACTGTCTTGATTCAGGGTACATCTGAAGTATATAAATATCTGCTGGCAGTGGCAAGTCTGGCTGCATTTTTTTCTCTCCCTCCATCCCCCTCTTGTCTTCCTGGGGTGCTAAATGTAATCATTCATCCACTAGATGCACTCTGCAAGAGTGACATGAAGCATGAGGACTTTTGAGGGAAGATAAAAACAGACAGAGAAACTCTACAGAATGGGGGGTGGGGACGCAAAACAATTAGAGCCCCATCAGCAGAGAGATTTTTCCCTACTGTTTATCCTCATTAGCAAACGTGCGGCTGAGGCCTTGTCCCCTCTCCGAACACATTTCTTTTGTTCGCTGAATCGAAGGAGTTTTTTCATCTATTATGATTACAATGGATAATTTAAAATCCCCAGTGCAAATCCGTTAAATGCTTAGGGGGTACCGCACGCCTCGGATTGTCATTGGTGGATACGTTATATTCTGGTAGGAATCGAATCATTATGTAGACACGCATACACATATATGCACTTGTGTAGATGCGCACACACCTTCTTCCTCTGCCTCTAGCTGTCACCAGATTTAATCAGCAGCTACAGTCAATAAGTTTTATCACTCAAAGCCTCAGATAAGCACCAGCATGTGGAGAATATTTTTTGACATAATTTGCCCCAGAATGAATTAGGAAACTGATGTGAGAACATCTACACGAATGAAAGAGTGGGTGTGAGGTAATAAATGACGTGCACTTCAAAAGATTTCTTCAAAATGCAAAAAGGTTTACAATAAATATACTTTTATTCTTGATTCTGGCATGCTAAATTTGAATGCTTTTATCCAGAGGCCATAGATTAATGCAAGACTATCAATCCTCTCAATGTCTGTTATCATAAAAAAGTAAATAAAAAAAGTCAGCCACTCCAAAAGAAAAAAAAAAGACAAACAAATGTTTCTAAACTAGAACAAAACCATATCAGTTTATTAAAAACCTCAGATAATATCACAAGATTAAAGTGCTAATTGTAACCATTAAAGCTCTTTTAAATTCAAGAATCTATGGAATTTACATAATGCGGCAAACGTAACTATATCTATAGAGCCATCAATACCATTTTAATGACACCTTCAGGAAATATTCATTATGTTTTTTACTATCAAACTGTGCATAATGGGGGTTATTTTAATAAGTTGCACTAAAAAAAAGACAGAGACACAGAAGTGAGAGAGAATTAGAAACCTGTAGGCCCAAATGCCTAAGAAAAGATATACCACTGACCTAATCTGCATATGGCTGACAAGAAAATGAGTTACATCTAATCTAAATGTAAATTAAGTGTTTTATGCCTTCAGTAAACAGTTTACGTATCCATGGTCTGTTTTAATTAACCAATTAGAATTTATTACCCGGATAATAAAGATAAGAGCCTTTTTTTTTTTTTTCTTTTTTCATGACAGCTGTCTAAAGGGAGAAAGAGGCAAGAAACAAATTTGCTGGCAGAGAAAAGGAACTTGAGTGATATCTTGGCTTTTAAGTAAGACACATTTGCTTGAAATCCCATAGATGGTGCGATCCTGGATTGAAAGCTTGTATGTTTTTACAAGGTTTTTTCTCCATCCTGTCACCAATGGAGTTTTGGTTCCTTGCCGCTGTCGCCTCTGGCTTGCTTAGTTGGGGACACTTCATTTCCAGCGATATCGTTGACATGATTGCAAAGATATTATTTAAACTGTACTGAGCTGGATGTTGACATCACTGAATTCAATGATGAACTGTCTTTAACTGAAAAATGAGTGTTTACTATTGTCATTTTGCATTATTGACACTATTTTCCTAATTAATGCTGTTCAGTTGCTTTGTCACAATCTGTATTGTTAAAAGCGCTATATAAATAAAGGTGACTTGACTTGACTTGACTATGTAGCAGCCACAGTGTACATATCAGTGTTGGGGAAGCTACTCTAAAAACTGTTGCTTAACAAGCTACAAGCTAATCATAATTTGCAGTAGTTAAGCTACACTCATGCTTAGCAATAATTGTAATTAGATACAATACAAGATACAAACATAAAGCAGATAACTAAAGTACACATTTTAATATTTACTAATTAATCAGATTTTTATCAGATTAATCAAACAAATAATAACAGATTAATCAACTATCAAAATAATCATCAACATGAACTTCCTAAACAAAGGTTTCCATAGAACTAGATTTACTAGAATAACTAAAACTTTCACTACTTTAAAAACAGATGAACTAAGTCATGCAACTAAAAAATTCAGTTAAGTTAGTAGCATCACTAGCTTTAGTTAGTTAATCAGCCAAACCTAGTATATACTGTATATAAACTGAAACTGCTAATACTGGCTGCACAGCCATTTGTTTTGAAAAAGAGTTTAACTTTTTTTCTCAAAATCTGAGCAAGTGATATCTAATGCATCTATGCTATTATTTTCATTTTTTACGAGCGATCCAAGGGGATATTTTATCCTTCGACTGTGTATTAAATATCATTTCCATTTCCAAGGTGCTGACTTTCACCGTAACAAAGGAGAGGCTGCGAACGGTGAAAAGTTATCACTTGCTGACAGGTGGCTTTCTGACAAATGAGCCCACATCGCCACAAACCTTTACATTTCCACATCTTCTTCAACATAAAGAGAAGAGTGTTTGATTAATGACCGAATGTGCCTAGCTCCGAAAACTTTGCTGAACTATTGCATCTTAAGTCCTTCAATTGACATGGCGGCTTCAGCTCTCAAAGTCACTTACGTCAAAAGCACCAATTGTTGCCAAGAAAGTGCCGCTTCCCTTTTGTCAGTGTGTAAGTGGTTAACATAATTTCACTGCAATGTTGCTTTGCTGAAACAGCAACAGGACATTAATTTGACATTAGCGCTGTAACATCAATTCCTCTCCATTTTCCAACTTGGATAATGCGTTTACTGGAAGCAGATTAATATCTATTCCATAAATCATTCAGAGAATTTGCCGAGCCAGAGACATGGGGGTAATGTCATATATGTTAGCTGATCCTGGTCTTGCGGCTGGATGTTCATTAATCAGTGCCTCGGGGTCCTCGGGGGCAGTCAGAGGGGAAAACCGAGAAACTTATAAAACGTCCTGATTATTTATTTATTTATATTGACTTTGGCTCTGTAACTTATGTTAATATTCCATGTCCTTTTATTGCCACAAAACATCATCCACTCTCGGCTCACAAACATGGCTACCGTCAACATCCTTACGAGGAACGTCATTGTTTTGATAACAATAATAATAATCTCTATGATGACAGATGGCTCAACTGCTAGCGCATGATGTGAACAGTGTTTATTATTAGTTCTGGTAGAGTTGCTCAGAATCATATTGATTTATCAAGTTACTCTGGAATTGATTCGAAATGGTCAGTCTTACATTTCAGACACTGGCTCCGTAACCAACTGCTTTGTGTCAGCTTAACATTCAATCCAAGCTCACAAGCAACTACCTGATAATACCAGAAAGACTCGCTCCACCTAAAAATGTTACTATTACAGAATATTTCCAAGACCAAAAAATCTATATAAAAAAACCTCCCCACAGGGAGTCTAGCCACAGGCGAGCTCTCTCCCCGCAGAGGGGAGAATTGGTTGGCTGTCAAGAATATGAAAGCTGAGTCTCATCTGCTGGAGACCCTGAACCTAATCTCCCAGCAAAGAATGATATTGTGCCTGTTCCAGCCATACTGATTCACTGTCAATCTGGCCCAAAGCTGCTCTCAGCTGCCCACTTGACCTTGTCACTGCAAAAGCACTTTATTTTCATTACATCACTGCTCATTCAGACTGGCAAAAAGTGCCAAACAAAGGCCATTTACTCAAAGTATGCTACAAAATATCATAACTTACTTTAATTACAGTTTTCAGCGAGTAGACCGACAAGAGCAGTCACTTTCAATTGAAACGCTTCCATTTTTACCCCCTCCATTTAAAAGGGAGATAATTATCCATTAAAAGCCCTGCTCACATGGACAAAAGTCTCTCTCAGGCTGTGCTGCCATATGCTAAAATAGTATGGTTTAACAAAAGACACTGCCAATGATTTTCGTACAAACATGTTTGATGACAAGAGATCTACTGCTCTTCTGGGAATTCAAGGGTGTATCACATTTGTAGAGGCATAGATGGTTATTCTAGCTGTTCACCGTATACATTCTTCTAAATCTTTAATTAACTGCCATGTTAACATATTGCTCAATTAAGGTGCTTTTTAATTGATATTCTGTTTATACACTAGATAAATTAGATCATGAACATGTCAGTATTACACGCTTAATATGTTTGTACTCATGAAACTCAGCACAAGATTATAATGGCAACTTAGTGTTAGTAAATTGCTTAAAAGATATTGGGTGCAGATTCCTTTACCTTTATACAATAAATATTTAAAGTGGATTTGATCATCCCCAAAACATAGGTTGATCACTTCATAATGTGTAAATATTCTTCAATAATCTCAGCCAACAATGTAAGTTTGTCTAAATAATGGAAGATGGGCTGAGTGATAAGAAAAAAATGCTAAGAATGAATCTTGATTTTTGCAAATCCATCCTGTAATGGTGCAGAAACTGCACTACCGTTTAACAGCTCTGGGTCAGCTCAAAGTTTTTTTTTTTTTTATTTATACTTATTCAGCAAGGATGCATTAAATTGATCAAAAGTGACAGTAAAGACATTTATAATGTTACAACAGATTTTTATTTCAAATAAATGCTGTTCTTGAACAGTAGTGTTCACATAACAGCATGAAAAGGGGGCTAAAAAAATACAAATACTCAAGATCTCTCACCACTCTCAAAGCAGGCGTCGAAGATGATATGACCTTTCTTGGGAGGTCCAGTGTATCCTGGAGGGGTGACCATTAGTTTGTTCACATTCCCCACCAAAGCATCCTCTCCCCCCTCTTCATTATCTGCCCCAAAAATTTCAGAAATACATATAGGTGGTGACTGGCCTACAGTTTACAATACCTAAAACACATTCCATTCTAAAACATGAAGGAAATAAATATTTCAGCAATGATAAACAGCCTGTTGATGACTTCCAAATTAATTGGCAATAGTTATTCCATATTCCTCTAACACAGCAATTAAAACCTGACATCCAAACAGGGTTGTGGTCTATGTGAATGACAGAAAACAATGCCAAAAAGTTCTTAATTGAGTCTGAATCATTTTTACCCAAACATGAATTGAAATAGGACAACAGAAGCAAAACCTAAAAATAATAAATGCCAAACAATTAAAGAAATAGTTCAAAAATTTACTCCAATCTCATATTATTTTCTTTCTTAGATTGAACCCAAAAGGAGGAGATCTTATGCAGAATGACAGCATTTACAATAGGCACCATTCACTTCCATTGTATGAGAAATTTTTTTTTAATTTAATTAAAGTGAGTGGTGACTAAAGCATTCATTCTGCCGAAGATGAAGTTCATTTAGGGTGAACTAACAATTTAAGTAGTGAACATCCAAAAGACAGACCAATATTATAATTTATTATAAAATTAGTGTAACTTTAAAAATCTTTTATGTCCATATTTAACATTTACAAGCATAATATTAATTTAGCTCGGTGTTGTAGAAATAGATAGATAGATAATATTTATACAATATCTTATATTGAATACATTATATGTAGGTGTTATATATGAATATATTATATATATATAGATGTTGAATTCAGTAAATTCTCAAAGGCAGCAGTCTAATCAGATTACTAGTAACCTAGCTTGTACACTAGTAAAGTAGTAAGGATGTAGTCCAGCTAGTAATACTTGTAAAGCTAGCATAAATAGTAAATGTCTAGTAGGCTATATGTGACCCTGGACCACAAAACCAGTCATAAGTAGCACAGGCATATTTGTAGCAATAGCCAACAATACATTGTATGGGTAAGAAAATTATAGATTTTTCTTTTATGACAAAAATTATTAGGATTTTAAGTAAAGATCGAGTTCCATGAAGATATTGTGTAAATTTCCTACCATAAATATATCAAAACTTAATTTTGTATTAGTAATATGCATTGCTAAGAAGTTCATTTGGACAATTTTAAAGGAGATTTTCTCAATATTTTGATTTTTTGCACCCTCAGATTCCAGATTTGCAAATAGTTCTATCTCAGCCAAATACTGTCCTATCCTAACAACCCATATATCAATCGAAAGCTCATTTATTCAACTTCCAGATCATGTATAAATAAATAAAAAATTATCCTTATGACTGGTTTTGTGGTCCAGGGTCACATATTTAATCAAGAAATGCACAGCAAAGCTAGGACAATCTCGTAAATATGTAGCAGAGCCACTAAGTGTAAATATGTCAGTCACCGTATATGGAAGTGTCCACCTTAACAAGGCTGGACTACAAACACACGTGGTGTACCGTTTCATTACTTATGCAGTTATAAGTGAATATTCATCGCAATACATTGACACTTTGTAATGTTTTGACACTCCAATTTCCGGAAAGTCACATAAATAAGGTTTATTCGGCTAACGTTAGCAAACAGTCACTGTGTTTACATGGACGAAGCGCTCATATCATGCACATAACAGCGAAATTCGCTCTCTATACAAGCACAGACAGTACCCAACGAGTATTAATGAATCTGTATTCATGTGTTTTCATTTTACACACCAGTATCGAGAGGTTCTCTGCTGTTTTCTTCCATCATCCGTCCATACAACCTCACACAGGCTTGAGCAGCGACGCTGAAGAAGCGTTTCCAAGACGACGGCGTGGTGTAAGCGCGCGAAAAGCGCACAGCTCCCCCAACCACACGGATGTCTTCTCACAACGCGCCAAATAATGCTGTGCAGCCCTATAATATAAAGCGTCCAAATGGAGAGGAAATGTCAGCAGTGTTTACACAGACCAAGCCCTTTATTAGCTGCTAATAAAACATGCACTATAACATCCATTGCGTTCATGGCTGAAAAAGAAATAAATTGAGGGATTTGTGACTTTAAGTCCATGTCTATTTGATTTAAAGCCATCTGTTTGCAAGAGTACGCCTAAAAGTTTACATTTCTCTTCTGGGAAAACAGTTCAAGAATATTCATCCTGTATTACACATTGTGCAATCTAATGCACAAAAATAGATAGATAGCAAGATAGCAACTTATTATGCATGGCTGCCACTTACCTACAGACTATTGGCTAGAAAAAAATCTTTCCTTATACCCAAACTTCCTGTTCTTATGGGAAACACAATAAATCAGGACACTGATTGTAGGACTATGTTGTAAAACATTTCATAAGATCTTAAAATTATAGGGATGTGGATCAGCGTTGTAGTATGAGTTCATCTGGAGGATCATATTTTCATGATCCTTGTCTTGTCATAGACCTTGACTTTGGATCATTTTGACTTGGTCTTGACTCGGATTCAGCCATCCTCTGGTCTCGGTCTCAACTCAGACTCAAGCTACTCAGGTCATGACTACAATACTGATGTGGATGCTATTTGCAGGTTCGTTTCAAAATAAACTGAGCAATTGAATCCCTTCACAAGGGACCAATTAGCCAAGGGTACATTCACTTCAAGAAAGTAATTTTATCATTTACGATCATGTGATCTCGGGTGACACATCCTCCCAATTCATTTTGAGGTAATTTATCACAGATATTATGGGATTTAATCCCAACTGTAATATTTGTGAAACATTGTTCTTAAACAATCAAGCACCACAGAACCAGCCAGTTGAAATAAATGTGTAAAAAAAGAAGTTTATTATAATGACACACAGAGGCCATATTTAATTCAAATATTTATTTGCCACAGCAATGTTAATCTATAAACATGAACTTTGCGATTACTGTATGTCATCAAGGTAACATTCAGATTTCAGATTCATATTAAAGTGGCAGGAAAGTATGGCTTTGTGTAGGATGTTTCAAATGGCCACATACAGTACTAGACTTCGCAGTGACTAGGATAGAATGATGCTCACTTTTGAATGGAATTCACCCTCAGAGTGTGTATGAGAAATAAGGAAGGTAAGCACACATCATTTAGGCCTTAAATAAATATGAAGAAAAATTACAATCACTAGCTACCTTGAACCTGCTATTTCTTTTTCTTATATTGTGAGGATAAAGATTGTAGTCATCAACCGTCCCTTCAAGTGTCTCATATTTCAAATTGCAATGTCCCTCACAACCGGCACTGTCTGTCTCTCAATATAGATTGATTAAAGTGTATGGATTCCAGAAAAATTGGAGCATAGCCTATGCCATCAACCACAATCAAATCTCATTCATTTTCCATTAATAGTGCAGCTTTCTGATTAGCCTGCAAATGAACAACCATATGACTTGCATTTCAGGAGGACACAGGCATTGAGACCCTCAGACGCTAATTTTCAGGTTATGAGCAGAGCGGCGAGTGTCAGAAGCAGATGAAGAGAACTGGGGTCGTCTTTATTAAGACAAAATTGGCAATGATTTTTTTCCTCAGGATCATATTTGACGGCAAACTACACACAGGCAGTCAGGGTAGTTTGATTGTTTTTAGATAATGAGGAATTGTGCTGCACGGTACACACTTCAAACTGAAAATTGAAAAGCTGTCCTTCATGGTATGTCATTCCCTAACATCTCCAATTATCTGGCTCCATGCCTCCCTGTTTATTTATTGAGACTGTCAATTCGTATTATGAATCGGGCGACAAAAATATAGATCCCCTCCTCGTTCTTTTGTGTCTGCGCATGCTTCAGGATGCACGCGATGCACATCCGTATGCATGTATCTGTGAACAAGAAAGCAGGAAATAAAATTGTAGGGGAAACAGAATCACAGCAGATATTCCTATGACAATTATGACATTCCTGCAAAAGCAGAATTTCTTCTCTGCACACTGGTCCTGTCATGCAGTCTGCCAAGTGAACAGATGATTTAATGAACCCATCAATCATAGAATACAAAAGCGAAGTATAGTCCACTTCTTGATCCTCTGATTTTTTAATTGGTTCCCACGAGACACAATGTTTTTCCACATCAAAATAAGTTTTACCCCACAATTATAACTGACTCTGCTGCTAACAATCATGCGAGACGGGTGTGACGCCAACGACTAAGATGGCAAAACTGGATTGAGTTAAACATTAAAGATGAGACTTTCTTTTTGGGGTGGAGGCATTTGAAGCAAGGGCTATAAGAAGAGTCAACTTGAGTGTTTGTGAGTGTGGGTGTGCGTTTCCAATGTGGCCAACATGTTTTTGGTGGTGTACAGGGAAACCCTTTTTAGATGGACCATGTTGGGACTCCACGCATGAGTCCCTTGCAGTGAATGGCAGGTCATCTGCATGGAACAGACAGCACAGGAGAAGCGGTAGGCTCTGAACAGGCTTTATGAAGACACATAGAGTCACTATGGAGACAGCAATCAGAATCCCCCTGGGACCCCGGCGGACAGAAGAGGGAGAATGAGAGGCAGATGACTCTGGAAATAAGCGGTAGACTCCATGATTCAAGTGACAGCCCATCCCAGTTCTCCATCTCCTGAACGATTTTTAACCAGGTTTGTTATATACGATAAAATCCGGAATAGGCTACGGTGCTTGACAAATAGAAAATCCTGCAACATCGATAACGCAATTACAGTGAGAGTGAGAAAACGGTGCTCTTTACATGATCCCTCAGTAGCATGCAACACACTGGGTGGATTCTTAACTTCATAAGATTTGCCTATAATGTTATTATTCTAAATGGGTTTAGCATTAAAAGTTGCAATGTTGACTCGGTGGAGGTACAAACTGTTCTGTAATAGCATAAAACAAATATGATGCCGTTTTAAGTAATGGCTCATACGCACACATAAACACCCTCTATGACGTAAAAATGGTAGCATTCTCTCTCGTTCTCCAATGCTCTCTCCAGCTCCCTTTTTTTAGTTGGCTTCAGTCCACCCCAACAGATGGGTCGGTGTCAATAGGCTGCTATTAACTGGACACACGCCTCTCATGGGGACTGGAGACCAGATCATACTGTACCATACGCAGTTTTCAAAAAAAGAAGAAAGAAAGAAACAGCTTGTTTTCCTGCAGTCATACCCACTTTCAGCTAACCTCCGCTTTTCACACTCTAGAAACAAAACAGGCTGAAAATGACTTATTCTTGCCTGCTTTGTTATTTTGAGAGAAAAACATATGGTTTTGTGGTTTGTATTACCTGAGTTTAGCTGCGTCCGTTGGCATGATGATGATTAGGCTTTGTCGTAGACAAAATGATATTTAATATTAAACAATTAATAGCTGATTGTTTAGCACAAAACATCATAATGAATCTTGACTCATTTTATCCATTCTTCTTAATTGCAGTTAAACATTTTGAAAGTCTAATTTAGCATGCATATTGAATTTTTTTTTTTTAATGGTAAGATTACAGTGCTATGCAGTCATTGGCTGATGGGAATACATCTGCAAGTCTATGACTAAATCAATGAATAACAATGACCTCATGATTGCTCATACTTTTTAAAGTTTGTCTATATAAAAGAATTCTAAAGGGACATAAAACAACACATTTTAAAATCTAAAGCCGACAATGAGAGTCACTAAAACCAGTTATTTATAGTAAAAAAAAAATTTAAATTAAGCTAAAATAAATATTATGATTTAAATATAATTTGATTACTGCATTAATCTATAAAAAAGGTTGTTGTCGTTTAATTATTGAGAGGACAGGCCATTAATCCTCTGGTTTCTGATATTATGTGGGAACCGGTGTTTATATTTCCATCTAACTATTATTATATTATATTCTTTTCTATCTTTTTTCAATCTTTTAAAATACTTCTGATGAATTATAATAATTATATTTAAGCAAATACCAACACAACACAATTGGAAGACAAATACTGTCTTTGCAATTTAATAATCAGGCAGTATGCCCATTGTTCATATATATGACTCCAAAAGGTAATTGAACACTTAAGGCACAATGTATAAATTTCACTGCATCAAACACAGTATCAAACCAAACAGCATAAGTGAACAAATGATGCTAGTTCTTTCAGAACTAACCAAGGTCAAGTAATATTAGTATGAAACAACTTCACACAAGTGCTGCTAGTAGAGTAAGCACAGGTGTAGTTCTTTACATGAACTATGGATATGTTCTACTGACATTCGACAACCAGAAAGTATGGTTGTGCAACCCTTCTTTTTCAGTGGCATTTATATATTTACATTCATATGTAAGTGCCCAAATGCATTTTGGGGGCATTGTCTACAATTACACCAACGTCTTGCTCTAATGCTATTTTAGAGGAAGCGATGTAAGCAAATATGCTCCGGAAATGATATGCTGAAATCTCAGCTGGGGTTTTCTCCGGCTAGGTGCCACTGGTCAGAGTTTTCTTAATGCTATTGGTCTATAAATCAACCCTGTTCCCATACATCAAATGCGGCTGTCACAAGGCGACTGAGGCGCAGGGGGAGGCGAGAGAGAGGAGAACGGAGGTGAGTGGGTGCCAAAGCGATCATGTGTTCCCCACAAGCAGCAGGAGGAGAGCCGTGAAGCCAAACGGAGAGGAAAAGATGAGCCAGGAAAGGCAGATGTGCCTGTGTCATGTCTGTTATGAACAGTCTTCCCACCTTGTGGTAACACTGTGAACTGTAACTGCAGGAGAGCGTGATCGAGAAATAGAGAGAGGGAGCGAATGGAGGGTGGGGTGGGGGTAAAGAGAGATAGAGAGAGAGGGAGTGTGAGGAAGGGAGGGAGTAAGGAAGGAGAGAGAAAGAGAAAGGGTGAGGATGGAGAGAGAGAGAGAAAGAGAGAGAGAGAGGAGTTTAAACTAAGAGCTATGTTTTGGGACGAACTAATCTGCTAGAGAGCAGTGTGAGGATCGGAACGCATTGTGCGAGCGAGAGTGTGGAGGACAGATAAGGGAAGAAGCCCGGCAGACCGACTGCTTGTTTTAATGTGCTGACTCTGGGGAGCTAAAAAAAAAAAAAAAATTGACTCTTCAGTCGTGCGGCGTGAGCCAGGGCACAAGCGCCACATTTAACAGAGGTGCACCAGAAAACACGGGCGCGAGAGAGGAGAAAATACATCCAGCCAGACAGCACATATAGAGGATTTCTCCTTCCTTTTCTTCTTTTTTTTAATCTGTTCATTTTTCTTTCTTTTTTTTTCTCGGGACTGATTCCCATTTCCAGTAGAGAAAAAGGAGCCATAGAGCCACGAGAACGCAAAAAAAACCCACCAAAAAGCGACAAGAAACGAAACACCGCCAACAAGATGTTTGAAATCAGCCGAACACTGAATGCTGCTTTGTTGAGCAATGAGGTAAAGGAATTGGATTTTCTTCTTCTGTCACCTCACTTCTTTAAGTGTGTGTTCATTATTCCGTCGTGCGTAACGTTTCTATGTTTTATCAGTGTGTCCCTGCTTCTAAATGTGGCAGCTGACAGGTCTAAATGAATGTGCAGGGATTGAGCATTTAGGTCCAGTTAGACGGCTGCTAGCTGAAGGCAGAACCTCTTTGCTCTCCGGGCGTACTGTAATGGATGAGAGACTAGACTCGCTCTCTCTCCCTCTCCCACGCACAATCATTTCATTTTCTCATTTACTCAAAGCAAGATAGCTGTAACTGCTGAGCTTGCTTGATGACTTGCCCATCTGGGGCTTGCACTGACTGTGTGCGCGCGTGCATGTTTGTGTGTGTGTGTGTGTGTGTGTGTGTGTGTAGCGCGAATGTGAACGTAAGCACACGGCTCTCTATCACTGTGGCAGTCCAGTTTTCTCTTTCCTTCCGCCTCTTGCTTTTTTCTTTAGCCTGTATATTTTGTTACCACCTTGGCTAGCATTCTGTTCTCTTCCTCTTCTTTTCTCCTCTTCCCTGTAAACGCGCACCTCGCGAGCAGTGTCTGAAGATGATGGTAAGGTGTTCACAGAACTCGGCAGTAGCCCAGGCGGAAGGCTCCTTCCCAGGCATGGGCTCGCTGCTTTTCCCCCGAGATCCATCCAGCCAACTGGGTGCCAGGGCACTGGGGGTAAGAGGATAGATGGATCCGTCAGACAAACGAATGAGAAAATAGACGTCAAAGTAGAATAAGAATACTAAGTTCATTTAGGTAAATGTGTGCAGCCCTTAGGCTTGAATTAACCAATGTTTTTATGCCTCATTGTGTGATGATACGGCCACCCACTCTGACTAGATCTTTCTATCAGTTAGCCAGAGAGAAAGAGAAAGAGAAAGAGAGAGACAGATTGCGAGAGAAAAAGCAGCTTGTGTTAGTGTATTGTTTGTGTATTCCTGCTCAGAATGTGTTTGTGCGGTGGTGTACTGATGCCTGAAATTGAAAGTGCGCCGCGTGTGTGTGTTGAGCGTGTATGCTTAAAGTCATTTGAGCATAGTGAGGTTAGATGGCTAAAGGATAGATTTTTGTATGTACATTTTGTTTCGGGCATCATTTTGAATTTCAAACAACTTTCCGAATGCGTTGTGCTGGTGCTCTGCAGCCTTTTAGCACAAAAGTGCTCGAAAACATGTGAAATAGAAACCATGTGTCTGATTAGTATTATGTTACCAAACTAACTCAATATATGTATGGCTATTGTAAATATTTCATTTTGTAGCACATTCAAATTTAGTTGTTTTATTTCTCCACTGATAGGTGGCCATAATTGAGCATACTAGTAGATAAATAGCTGGCTAAGGCTTTTCCTGATTATAATGAATGTGCTTTTACTCAAGTCTGGAGCTATGAAAGTGGATAACCATCCTTTACGTTCTCACACAGTCATTTCTGATCTTCTACTACAGTCTTGGGGGGGAAGAGAGATGGCTGTATGGGAAAGCCCTGGCTGGCTGGCTGGCTGGTGCTGTAAGCTCCGGTCGGTTAAGAATAAATCCCTGACTTGGTGCATTAAATCGACACGAAACTGTGGGTGTCTAATCTGTGATGGGCTCTCGTTCCTCGTCTCTACAAAACAGGATCAGCCTGCCTGCCTGGAGCCGCACCACATTCTCACACAAATCAAACTCATACTGACAGCACTGGAGCTCCTCTGCCAGTGCACAAACACACACACGCAAGTGTACATACACACACTGCGATCGCATGCAGCTGGGTGTTCATCAGCAGAGAGAGCAGATTTTTAAATCCTTCTTTGCAACCTTTCTGAGGTGTGTGTACACACTTGCCTTAAAATCCTCCGCAGCTCAGGGATTTGAAACATTTTGCATATTCATCCTGGTGATTCTCAAGCTCTAAGAAGATAGAAAAAAGAAACAAGGCATGTAAAGTCACAACCACAAATATTCTCATTTGAACTACAACATTTTTACAAGAGGAAAATCATTGTCATCTAGCAATCAGTCACTATTTGGCCTGGGAAAGCAGAAAATCTATGCAACATTTAATATATAATGAAAATTAGTGACAGCGATATGTATGCGTCACTAGTTGTTGGGAACCGTGTGATTGCGCAAAGTGATGTTCTAGTTTTTTCACATAGGCAGAACACTGATTCAGTTCACAAAAGTAGAATTTTTTTAAGATGGTTTAATGAGAGGTGGTTTCTCTCTGTTTCTCTTTCCACCTCGAGAAACTGTCAACAAACTGTTTTAATGTTCTGCTTCTGCACATTTCATGTTAAATATATAATTAATAGAATAAAACACTGATATTTTCTTTTTTCAGCTGCTATGCCTGGCATCATTTCATCTATTTTTTTTACTGTTATGAAATAACAGTCATTGTACATTGTATGTGATTATTTGTTTTATTTCTGGATATAAAATATACCCTTGCAGTTTTTTTCACTTCATTTGGATAATAAATTGTTCTGTTTATTCATTTGGGAGCAGGAAAATATGTCTTTATCTCTGCTGGACTGTTTCTTCACCTAAAAATCTGCATTTGTGACTCACATTTATCCGCAAACACACAACTCACATTTTAGATTGTAATTAACCAAGTTAAATCAGACCATCGTTACAGTGATTAATTGTGCCTTCATTAACTGAAGCCAGATAATTTGCATACATTAAATCATTGTACAGGGAAGAGGTAGAGGTCTGTCTAGGCGTTTTTTGTGAGAGGGAGATTTTATTCTCTTTTCCAGTTCTCTGTCAGTTTTAGTTTTTTTTACATGCATTAGGTTGCTCTCAGACATCTTGCCGAGCAAAATGACTAGAACGTTCCATCTGGATGCTGCTTTTTCAATTATATTTCTATATGCACAGCATGTGTAGAATTCATATCAAAGTAATGATTGTATTTTATGATTAAGTAAATCAATTAAGCAATGAAAACACTCAGAGCTAGATCTGAAGATGTTTTTACAAACATGAACTGACATTAAAAGCCAAGCGCAATCATGAGAAGTAATGGATCACTAACAGTGAGATCATTTATTTATCAGCGCGCTTTAACATATACCTATAAACAGTCTGGAATAATTGAATTAAAATAAAACATTTTATTTGCGAAAGTAGCAAAACAGATGCAGCACATAACAGTAATTATGTTTGATTTTGGTATTCTCGTGCCAAGCACTCTCATGGGTTCTCGAACATCCAGAAGACACTGAAATGATTTCTAATCACGGTTAATAACCGCAGTGTTTTTTTTTTATCAAGCATGACACATTGCCACTCGAGATGCTGCACTAAGCAGGATACGGTGTGATTTCCAATTATAAAACATTTTTCAGCATTCAGCACAAATGATGGAAAGCTCTGAAATAGCACAAAAGTACAATTACAGGAAAAAATGGCATGTTCCGACGAAACTACATCAGATTTGGTAGAGTTGTGGGTACCGAATGCGTTGTGCTGGTGCTCTGCAGCCTTTTAGCACAAAAGTGCTCGAAAACATGTGAAATAGAAACCATGTGTCTGATTAGTATTATGTTACCAAACTAACTCAATATATGTATGGCTATTGTAAATATTTCATTTTGTAGCACATTCAAATTTAGTTGTTTTATTTCTCCACTGATAGGTGGCCATAATTGAGCATACTAGTAGATAAATAGCTGGCTAAGGCTTTTCCTGATTATAATGAATGTGCTTTTACTCAAGTCTGGAGCTATGAAAGTGGATAACCATCCTTTACGTTCTCACACAGTCATTTCTGATCTTCTACTACAGTCTTGGGGGGGAAGAGAGATGGCTGTATGGGAAAGCCCTGGCTGGCTGGCTGGCTGGTGCTGTAAGCTCCGGTCGGTTAAGAATAAATCCCTGACTTGGTGCATTAAATCGACACGAAACTGTGGGTGTCTAATCTGTGATGGGCTCTCGTTCCTCGTCTCTACAAAACAGGATCAGCCTGCCTGCCTGGAGCCGCACCACATTCTCACACAAATCAAACTCATACTGACAGCACTGGAGCTCCTCTGCCAGTGCACAAACACACACACGCAAGTGTACATACACACACTGCGATCGCATGCAGCTGGGTGTTCATCAGCAGAGAGAGCAGATTTTTAAATCCTTCTTTGCAACCTTTCTGAGGTGTGTGTACACACTTGCCTTAAAATCCTCCGCAGCTCAGGGATTTGAAACATTTTGCATATTCATCCTGGTGATTCTCAAGCTCTAAGAAGATAGAAAAAAGAAACAAGGCATGTAAAGTCACAACCACAAATATTCTCATTTGAACTACAACATTTTTACAAGAGGAAAATCATTGTCATCTAGCAATCAGTCACTATTTGGCCTGGGAAAGCAGAAAATCTATGCAACATTTAATATATAATGAAAATTAGTGACAGCGATATGTATGCGTCACTAGTTGTTGGGAACCGTGTGATTGCGCAAAGTGATGTTCTAGTTTTTTCACATAGGCAGAACACTGATTCAGTTCACAAAAGTAGAATTTTTTTAAGATGGTTTAATGAGAGGTGGTTTCTCTCTGTTTCTCTTTCCACCTCGAGAAACTGTCAACAAACTGTTTTAATGTTCTGCTTCTGCACATTTCATGTTAAATATATAATTAATAGAATAAAACACTGATATTTTCTTTTTTCAGCTGCTATGCCTGGCATCATTTCATCTATTTTTTTTACTGTTATGAAATAACAGTCATTGTACATTGTATGTGATTATTTGTTTTATTTCTGGATATAAAATATACCCTTGCAGTTTTTTTCACTTCATTTGGATAATAAATTGTTCTGTTTATTCATTTGGGAGCAGGAAAATATGTCTTTATCTCTGCTGGACTGTTTCTTCACCTAAAAATCTGCATTTGTGACTCACATTTATCCGCAAACACACAACTCACATTTTAGATTGTAATTAACCAAGTTAAATCAGACCATCGTTACAGTGATTA